CGATCCCTGGTACCGATAAAAAGGAAAAAGACAAAAAAAACCTTGGGCACTAATAAATAAAATTTGTTATGTTTAGATAAACAGTTCAGTCCTGGTGAAGAAAAAAAATCTTAAAACATCAGACTTATAGAAAACCTCCATGCACAGAGCAGTTTAGTGAACCAACTCATTATAATCATTATTCTAGCATCTTAGGAGCAGTGTTTAGACATGGCTTTCTTCCCCAGGTTGTCTTTTCATTCTAGTGCTTGTGTTGAATCTTTTGGAAAACTTATTTTTTTCTCTCCGAGGGGCTGCCAAACTCCAAATATCATGCAGATGGAACCAACAAAACATGTGCCAGAATCCTTTGACTGGGACCCAGTAGATCAGACTTACAAGGAGAGTTGATAACTGTTAAATCCCAAAATGACTTCTATCTAAGGCTCCTTGGAAAAGGACCCAACTTCAGTCTCCTCTACATCAACCTTTCTCAGCTCGATGCAGCTAGACTGAAATTTCACCCATTGTCCCCTAGTCACAGTTAGGGATACCACTTCAGAAGGGGATATTACGGACCGTTAAATTCGATAGTAACTAACATCTAGCCAGAGAGGGACTGGACTCTAGGAAGTGAGTGAAAAATACAGAATTGTGGCTGGAGGCACACCAGAAGAAGGCAAGGCCTCGGGATTACAGTCATAATGGCCAGACTTGCAAACTTCCCTAAGGAATGAATGGAAATTTAAGATTATAGTGTAACTAGTACCATTCACTCCCTTAAGTCCAGATTTGCATCAGACACCTGGAATCCTTTCCCCAAAATGTGCCTGTTGTGGAAATCATATATAAACCAAGGTTAACGATGTCAGCCCTTGTTAAGAACCCTGATTCTCTACTGGACCAATATTAGCTAAGCAGCTACACTTGCAATGTGACTTGGTTGACTGTAGTTCGATCCACTTTGTAACTACCTTGTAATTGTGTACACACCTCTGATTTTGCTCTATATGCTATTCTTGGAGAAAAGACATCAGTGGCAATGTGCAAAGGGACCCCTTTTCTCACAGGAACTATTCCCCAATAAAACTTTCCTACTCTTAAAAAAAAAAAAAAAGATTTCTGCCTTTCAAATCTAACTATCGAGCTGAGGAGTTATTTCCCTGCATGAATCAGGCATAGTGGCACATGCTGGAATCCCAGCACATGCTAGAAGGCAAACAAGAGGGGTCACAAGATCAAGCCCATTCTTGGCAACTCAGTAACTTAAGATATGTCCCAAAATAAAAAGTAAAATAAAAACAGGCATATGAATTCAGTGTGAAGAGTCTCACTAGATTTAATTCAGTAGATTTAATCCCCAGTACAAATGAAAATAGAGCACAGAAAAGGTATGGAATAAAATAAGCCCCCAAGAGCTAAATTAGAAAAAAAAGTCTTCAAATTGAAGAAACTCATTTTTCACATACATAATAAATAACAAGGTGTTGACACCAAGACCTGTAAGCATGACATTTTGGAAAGCTGGGTAAAAAAATTCCCAAAGGCTTTTTCTGGGGGGAAGTAGTTGACATACCTACTAACAGAAAACAACAAATTAACATTAAACTTATCAGTTTAACACTGAGAAACACTGGAACAAAACTGGCATTTTCCAAGTAGTAACACAAAATGTTAAATACTATTCTATATACAGCACAACTATCAATCAAGTATGAGACAAAATAATTATTTTTAGAAACACAGGATCAGAAAATTTATTTCCTGTCATTTTTTTCTGAATCTCCTCCTCCTTTTTATTGAGAGGGTCTCAGTATGTGATCCGGAGTGGCCTTGAATTCCATGTTCCTCTTTCCTCAGCATCCTGAGAGCTGGAATTATAGTCACACACCACCATGCCAGGCTCTGAGTAACTCAAGAATATTCCTCAACAACCTGGAGTAGTGGTGCATCCCTGTAATCTAAGCCCTCAGGAGGGTCAGGCAGAAGAATCCAAGGTAGGCTGGGCTACATAATGAAGTCAAGACCAGTCTAAACTACCAAGTAAGACTGTCTCAAAAAAGGAAAAAAAAAAAAAAAAAATGCTCATAAAAAAAAAGGAAAAAAAAATATGCTCATAAAAAAAAAATGAAAAAAAAAAAAAAACTAAAGAAAGGCAACATGTAAAACATATTTTAAAAGCAAAGAGCTCAAAGAAAGTAAGTAGATTCCTATTGATACTATAATTTCATACTTTCAAAAACTTTACAAATATCTTGAAGGATAATTTTAATCAACGAAGAAAATGCAAAGTTCTTTGGGAACAAAATTGTACAAAAAAACGTATTAGTCTAAATAAAGTGTGACTTGCTGAATGAGGTGGCACCCACCTATAATCCCAGCACTCTGGAGGATGAGACAGGAGGTCTGCCTTGCCTTTGAAGCCAGTGGAGGCAACAAAGTGAGTTCAAGGCCAGCCTGAAATGTATAGGGAAACTGTCTCAAAAAGACAATAAAAAAAGTGTGGCCTGTTTTGAGCAATTGATGCTATGTTAAAAAGAGAATAAATCTGACCCTTACACTAGGCATACACAGATATTAAGAGATCTAAGAAAAATATAATCCTAAAACAACTTGCTATTTTAGAGAACATTATTTTCAATTGTCAACCCTTTAGACAAGCTTTCCTTGACTAAATATTCTTTAATTCTGCTCTATTTTGATTCCCACAACATCACATATTACATTCTTGATTCTAACATCTGTATTCTCACTTTTTAATCATGCTGAAACCAACATGTATGGTATCTTACAACCTAAAACATTTACAACTACTGTCAGCCAGGTGGCAGCAGTGTTGTGTAGAAAAACCTTCAGTGAAAACAAAAACAAAAAAACCTTCAGTGGATAGCTTATAGCACCAATATCAAAATGCCTCAGGTCAGACAAGACAACTTTTATTTGCTTTCTAGATATCTCTCCCACAGAACCCAACAAAGTTGGACATTAATTCTTTTAATATTTGTATCTTCACACATTTAACACTGTGTACCTATCATACATTTAATTTGTATGACTATTTGACATCTCTAAAGTTGCATAGGCTACGCAGAATGGATTGTACATAACTACCCCCAATTTTTGTCTTAGTGGTATTAACATCAAGTCTAGAAGCAATGACATTAAGATTTGAAGAAAATCAACAACAATTTGGAGAGCCAGGTATGATGGCACCCACCTGTATAATCCTAGCACTTAGAAGGCTGAGGTAGGAGGATTATGAGTTGCTGGCCACCCTTAACTATATAGATGCTGTCTCAAAAAACAAAACAAAACAAAACAAAATAATGGCTGCAAGATGGAGACAACAACAAAAAAGGATGGAGACCACAGTGACTGAATTAGCCTTTCATTTCAATATGATGCTAAGTGATGACAGGTTCAAGAAACATAAAGAAAGCGCCAGCACTGAGGCTGAGGCAGCTTGCGTAACACAGGAAGACATTGTTTCAACAAAAACAAACCCCACATGTACGTGCTTTGAGATATGAAACTACCTGAGAACAAAAAGACAAATGTGATCACCTCCTCAAAATGTGCAGTGACACACTTCAGTTTCTAACTATTGTGCAGGCTAAGGGGCACTGTTTGAGCCCAGGAATTCAACACAAGCCCAAGAAAAAGGAGGGCACATTAAATTCCACTTACACTGTTTTTCTGGAGACAGAGTCTTGTTAAGCAGTTTAAGCTGGCCTTGAACTCACCATATTATAGCCTAACTCTCTAGGATGCTCTGGCTTCACCCTCCCCAGCGCTGGGATGCCAGGTGTGTGTCACCACGCCCAGCACTCAACGCATTTTATTAACCACTTAAACATCTGAGGAAAGGAAGTAAAAACACAAATAGTTACACAGAGACAAAGACAGGAAAATTCATATGAATACACACAGAAAGACATCTAAGAGTAAAGTCAGAATCCAGCACCTCCAGAAATTCTAACGGCGGCAAGGGAGAGCATGAATTGTGGACTCAAATATTTACAACTTTACCGTGTGTCATCAGCACTTCTTTGCCAACTGCTAATTTCGCCATTTTGATCATTAGAAAATCAAGGAAAAGTCAAAAAGGTCTGCAGATTGACCCTTCTGCAACGTACTGAGAACTTGGCCCCCTTAAGGTGGAGTAACAAACCCTCCCTCGCTGAGGCTCCATAATCCCTGGGCTCTCCCCTCCCCAGCTTGGGCCTCCATATATATATCGATGACACCTCGGCGGCGGGGTGGGGGCGCTAGTGGCCTCTCGAGGACCCACCGACTGCACTATCTCGAGCAAAAGCGAGTGGGGTAAGCCAAGAGGCCAAGGCCGAGGGTAGGCAACTCCAGCTCGGGGAACAGCAGCTTTTACAGACACGAACCATCTTTGGGAACCCGGTGGGCAAAAGCGCTCCTGGACACGTCCCCTGAGGACAGCTACCAACCCAGGGAAACCCCGCCCAGCACAGCCGCCGGGCGGCTCAGGCCCCGCCCTTCTTGGTGGATCCAGAGTAGGCGCCAGCGATCGCAGCAAGTCACAGGGCCGGGGCGAGCGCGCCAAACCAGGGCCCACCCCCGGGAGACGCGGGCGCGCGGGCTGGTCCCTCCCCTTCCTCCGAACGCGGCTCATTCATTCTCCAAGGCGGGCAGCGCGTCCTACTCCGCCGCCGCCACCGCTCCCTAAGCCCCCCAGATGCTTTGTCTGCGGCGCCGGAAACGGGGGCGCGCGCCCGTGCACGCGCGAGCGCGGCCCCACGTACCTGGGCCTTCAAGGCGCCGGGGCCGAGGGGCCGCCTGGATTCTGGTGTCCGGAGTCCCCACCTGCGCTCCTCGGTTGCTGCCCAGGCGCGCACTCCGCGCAGCCCTCTCGGGCCAGGAGATATGTGCGGTGACCTCGCCAAACGTACACCGTGCGCCAGCAGGAAACGCGATCCCGCCCTCCCAGAGCCCGACCCGACCCCGCTCCTGGCCCGCAGGCTCCGGGCGCCCCGCTCCCCGCCCGCACTCACTTGAGCAGCAGCTGGTCGTGCTCGGCCTTGCACTTGCCCAGCTCGATCTGCAGCTTGGCACGCTCGCGAGCCGTGTCGTCGAGCGCGCGGCGCGCGTCGGCCAGCTCTGTCTCGTACAACGCCTTGAGCCCCGTGAGCTCGCGGCCGCGCACCTCCTCACGCTCCGTCACCTGCAGCTGCAGCGCGCTGTTCTCCGTCTCCAGGCTGCGCACCTTGTCGATGTACACGGCCAGCCGGTCGTTGAGCTCGCGCAGCTCCTCCTTCTCCTGAAGCCGCGTCAGCCGCGTGGGGCTCAGCGGCGTGGTGGGGCCCGCGCGGCCGCCAGACCGCGGCGGCACGGGGGTCGCGGTCGCCATGGCGGCGGCGAAAGAAACACCTGGCGGGCGGACACCGGGGGAGGACTGCGGGCCGTGCGATCGGCCCTACGGTGCCCGCCGGGAAGAAGCACGCGCACTCACCGACACGCGAGCGCGCGGGAAAGACGAAGCGAGGGTGGCGGGAAAGCGAATAGATCCGCGCAGCCGCTGCCGACTCCCGCCCGCAGCACTTTGTTTCCTCTTAGGCTGAACCGAGCGGAACTGAGCGGTGCAGCGGGCGGGGACCCGGAGGGGCTGGAGGCCAGCCGCGAGGAGGAGGGGGGCGCGGGCCGGGCGCCGAGCTCGCCAACATGGCGGCACCACGTGACTACATCTGACCAATGAGGTGCGGGCAGCGCTCTCCGGCGACTCGGGGGCCGGGCCAGTAAATTCAAACTCAGGCCATCAGGCAACCGTCGGCCCGCGCGCTGGACGGGGCGGGGCCCGACCGGACGAGGCGGGGTTGAGGCGGGGCCCGCTAGTCCCGAGTCCAGGGAGCCGCGCCCGCCGAGTCTCCAGCACCCCAGGGGCTCTGGGGGCGGGGCCCGCTAGTGGCGGGAAACGCGCGAGGCTTCCGGGCCGGGTCCGCGCCGCCCTTCTGGCTCGCGGCTGGAAGAATTCAAATGTAAACGTCCGGAACTGCGCGCAGTGGAGGTGCGGGCGGCCGGGCTGTCCCGGGGCTCGCCCGTGTAGAGGTCGCCAGGCCTCCGCGCCCCGGCTCAGCGCCCACCTGGGTTTCCGTCGGGCCCGAAGCCGCGCGTCCAGACAGGTCCCGGGAGACGGCTGCGGCGCCGGAACCGGCGGGTCCATCACCACGGAAAAGCCCGGAGCCCGCGTTTACGTCGCTTCCCGCCGGGCGTTTGTTTCTTAACGGTGTAAGGTTTTGCGAAATCAGAAACGGCTCGCGAGCGATCTGATTACCGTGACGTGTAGCGCAAGCTGTTGACATGATCCGTTAAAATCAGATTCAGAACATTGAGCTTACTTAAATAACGCTTTACCTTGAAGGATTTAGTAGAAAATTTACTAATCTCTGTGAAAAAAGTTTTACTTGTAGGTTAAAGGTTATTGGGATTACGCAGCCTGTAACTTGGCTTGTCGTCGCAACCGTTCAGAGGTGTGGGAACTGGATTATTTCTATTTCAAAATTCATCCCATTTGGCCTAGTGTGATGGCGCACGCCTGTAGTCCCAACAATCGGGAGGCTGAGGCAAGAGACTGGCCATGAGTTTGAGGCCAGCCTGCATGGAGAGATCCTATCGGAAAAGAATAGCCCATTTATAGATGAATTTTCATTAAAGCTGCCCAGGTACAGGACTTCATTTGAATTCAGAGATTTTTAACTCCAGAATCCAGTTATAACTTTAGACCACATTATAAACTGCTAGGAACGCATCTGTGAAGTAAGTGCAGGTTAGTTATTTTAACGGCAAGAATGGAGATCAGAATATTTTTAAAACGTTTATCAAGTCATGTACATGGAATTAGTGAAAGGTACTAGGCTGCATATTCACCCTCAGTGCTGCATTTTTCTCTTTATTGGTCCTAAAAATGCATTTCTTTATGTCCTGGAAAATTACACAAATTGAAAAGCTTCGATTTTAACATTGGTATTTGGCATTTATGAGCATTTAAATAATTTTTAACATAATTTTAACAAAGAGATCTTTAAAATCTCTAACACTTTTGCAGAAATAAAAGGCAAGTGCTAGATCCAGTGCTGAAATTCCACTCCGAAGGTGTTGGTAACCTTTTGGTCAAGTCATTCCTTACTCCTCTTTACTTAACACTTTAAAATATATTTGGAAAATTTCTTGTAACATTTTTCTGTTCCCTTTTGAAATTTTAAGACTGTGTGCTTGGGTCATGACCTGTACTGCTCTCAAAGTAACATAGTTTTCTTTAGATAGAGTCCCTCAATCAGATTCTTGTAGGAGATACATTGTATCCGGTTATCCTGTTACTGGGAAACCACACACTACAGTCCAGTGGTGGAGGATTTGCTATTGATTGGTAAATAGTATCTCTTCAATATATGTATTGATGAATGAAGAAATAATTGAATCCATAGCCTTTTTACTAAGTCAGATTTTATATCTTTTCAGTTATAAAAGCATAAGAATAAATCATGTTTCATTAGGTTATCTGGAATCTCTTATAATTCTCATTTTGATTTTTTTTAAAAGCTTACACGTTTTAAAATATAGTATACCTATTACCTTTAATAGGATAACAACTGCAAGCTTATATACTGCTCAGAATTATTTTACAAATCTGCTTAAGATCTAGACCTTTGGCCATAGTAGGGTTGGTGGAGCTATTTCCCTGTGATTCAGTAGTTTCATCTTACGGATAACACATAGCTTAATCAAAAAAAAGAAAAACAAAAATATATTTAGTCTTGCATTTTAGCCTTTGTCTTATTTTATGCCAGAAATATAGCAGTAACACATTCCTTTAAATTATTTTAAAAAGTATTGAAAGCATTTCTAAAACTAACTTTTATGGATCTCATCTTTAACTTTTTTCTTAATCTTACAAAGACATTCCCCTTCAACCTTTGGTCTGTATTTCTGCCTTTAGAATAATAAAAATAACAATAAAGATTGGTTTCCACAGTTTAAAGGTTATAGATAATATAGCTGTTTCTAATAAGGTTAGAATGACTCAAGCTCATAAGTTAGGAGTGTTTCTTTTTATGACTATTCTTCACTAGGTTACTTTGTTATCTTGATGTGTGGTTCACTCCTGGTGAACAATAATTTATTAGCTTAATTCTTCAGCTGTAAAAATGTAAATCTTTCTAAAATGTCTTCCCAACTAGCCTTTATCTCTTATATTGTCTAATATGCCCCCATGAAACAGTCTTTTAGGTCAGTCTGAAAAGGTTAAGGACACTGTTTCTGGATCTTGCACCTGACTTCAAGAAAGCAAAGAGGAGGCTGTCGAGGTGGCACAGGCCCATAATCCCAGCACTCAGGAGGCTGAGGCAGAAGGATCGCTAGGAGTTCAAGGCCAGCCTGGGCTATATGCATAGACCCTGCCTAAAAACAAACAAACAAAGTGAAGAGGAAGATACAATAGTTGTATATTCTTCCCATGTACCACAACTTTGGGGTGCCATTACTTCTGGGACGCCTCCTCACACCAGGACTAAAGACATTAATCTCAGCTCTTAAAATTAATTATAGTGTGCGACAGATTTGAAAATAAAGACAATCTGGCTAAACCAGCCCCTTCCATCTCATTATCTTTCCATCCCTATCACCTGGCCCCTCATAAAAACCCGCTGGCTGAGAAAGGAGGAGTTTGTAGTCTGATGTGGGGTGAGACCTGCTCCTTTGTCGCACTTCTCAGCCAAAGTGAAGTCAGAGGTTCAGATGCATTTAACATTTCAGTCAGCAGTCATGGCCTAAAGCACATTGTTTCCATAATGTGAATGGACCTTACCAATAATTTAGAGACCTGAATAGAATAAAAGAGCTCCCTACGAACCAGAGAGATATCCCATCAGCCTTCAGACTTGAGCTGCAACATCATTTTTTGGCTCTCTAATCTGCCAGTTTACCCTGCAGATTTTGGAAAGCTAATACACCTTCCCTGGGCCCATAGGAAGTGTGTAGAGGGCTAAGCCCAGCAAGTGGGAATGGCTGACAGCAGCAGGGAAAATCCAGACTGACCTGGGAAGAGTGGTCAGCTGAGACACGGCACAGCGGGACAAGTCAGCAGGAGCATGGAGGACATATAACAGAGACCAACATACCTGAGCATGGTGGTGACAAGTCGTGTCCAGAGAAAGCCAACTCAGAATGGAGACAAAGCAAGACAGAAACACACAGCTGTCCTAATACGAAGAATATCGATTGACTTGGAATCAGCCTAAGCAGGCAAGGCAGGAAGAGTGAGAAATATGAGTGGTACTGAACCTGAGCATGACTGTCCTACTTTTCATTTTTGAGACAGTGCCCAACACAATGCAAAAGATTTATTTTGGCTCAGAGTTGGCAGAGATTTCAGTTGATAGTTGGCTGGCTCCAAGATAAGGCGGCATGGCAGAGGGGCATGGCAAGCAGAGGGCAGCCAGCCATCAAAAAAGAGGCATACAGACCTATGTATCCTTCCACCCACAGTGCCCCGCTTCCCATCAGGCTTCACCTCCCAACTCGACACCCAGCTGTAAACTAATACTGTGGGCTGACCCAGGGTCTCACCTATGGTCCAGTCACCTCCCAAACACCCTGTCTGTGAGCGAGCATGTGAGGCTTTGGGTAAAATACATCTGGATGTAAGGCACAATACTGACCAGACTAGTCCCTGTCACTGGGAAACTACAAAATGGTTTTGGATGCAAGACTTTTGCATCTGCCTACAGACTCAACCTTATCACTGGAGTAGTCTCTCTCCATCCTTTTTTTCCTTTTTTCATCCCCCCCCCATTGCCCATTTTGTAGTTGGCTAGTAGACACATCACATAAATTCTCCAAGCAGCTCATAGTATAACAAATCTCAGGAAACTAATTTGCCCCTTTGAGCCATGAGTCCTGTCCTGAGTCAATTACTGTGCCCAGAGTTAGGGCTGAACTCTTAATTGGCCAAACAGGCTAAATGCCACCCTACTGACAACAAAGGACAAGGGTGAGCCAATAAACTACATGAAATTTCCCTAAAACAAGTTTTCATCCTTCAGCAGTATAAAAGTATGCTGGACAAATGAGTTTCATACAAGTTGTTATAGCCTGGTTGCAATAAGAACATGATCAGTTAACTGGTGGTGCACAACTATGATCCCAGCGTTCTAGGAAGCTGATAGATGGAAAGATCAAGCTTTGTCCTGGCACTGTCTCAATTTATTGAGATCTGTTTTTAAAAAAGGGCAGGGGCTGGGGATTTAGCTCAGCGGCATAAGCACCTGCCTTGTAAGCAGGCAGTCGTGAGTTCGATTCCCGGTACCGATAAAAACGAAAAAGACAAACGAAAAAGACAAAAAAAAAAGGGGAGAGGGTGCCAGGGATGTAGCTCAGTACAAAGGCCCAGTGCCAAAAAAGAACATGACCAAACTATGATTTCACGAATCACAGAGTTTATCTCTACAAAGAAAAATTTTCTTAGGTTCACAATGCTTAATGAAGAGGAGAATAACATGAACAAACCTCACGTTTGATAGAAAAAGTACAGTATAGGGCAAAACATATATCACTCACATAGCCAGCTATTAAGTGCTTGGAATCACTTCAAAGCTACATTAAACACATCCAACATCTTGGAAATTAGTTGAGAGAATTAAAGTAAATTTAAAAATTTC